CATTAACTTACATTAAAAGTTAAAAATGTTTTCGCCTTTTTCTGTAAAATTACTATTTTGGAGATGTTTGCTTTTTTTTTGGACGGTGACGACATGCAGATTGTGGCAAACTGCCTCGCTGTGTCCACTCGCTAAAAACATTTTTCAGCTTTTATGTGTCGACGGCTTAAAATAAGTAAGACTTATTGACTTTATTGTTGGATCCATACGCATAGGTTAGACGAACGAGTGGACAAAAGAATGAACAGTTACTCCATTATGCGTGCTAGGTTAGATTTCGCTTGCTAGAAGCTTTCACTGACTTGTAGAGAGACTGTGGGATAGTTTTGTAAAAGCTATGTGTACGTCAGCCATGTAATTGGTGAGGGGTCAAGCTTACTTGAGCTGTACCCAAGATTAGGACTGCCCAGTTGAAATTGAAACAGGATAAATCTGGCGAAATAGATGAGTCAGTTAATGGACAGGAACGTTATTCATAGAACATACTTTCTATGGATGTGGTCGAATTGTGGTCACAGTACCAAAATTTACCTACTTAGAAAGAAAACTGGGTCTTTAATTCAAATAAATAGTGAGGGGGTGGAGCTTTCCACAATTCTTATCCGTTTTCTTTTTTTTCCCTTTACTCAGCTTTTTTTCATCATTTCTGTTTGTATTAAGACTTTTTTGTGTTATAACATGTTACTTAATGCTATATTAAACAAGTCATTATTTGTTCATGCACAGCAAGATTTTTGCCTACATCAATAAATCCTTAGGGTGTAAAGATCTTATCGTATCAGTCGAGCCCCAGGGCAAAGCAGCGCCGCTCTTGTGGGACAGAGAACACAGAGCATTACTGAATGTGCTGGATTCCTCAGTGAGCCCTCAGTGAAGGTTGGGTAACTACTGGACCAGGTATGGGCATGGTGGACGAGCGAGCATTAATCTTCAGAGAGAGAGATAGGCCCTGGCCGGCTTCCTGGGACCATTTTGGAGCCTTAGAAACACAGGAGCTCTATGATGGATTGTGTGGAGTTATTATAGCTGTGTGTATGAGAGAGAGAGAGAGAGAGAGAGAGAGAGGCAGAGAGAGAGAGAGAGAAAGAACATAACTCATTGCATTGGCTTTGTGCTAGGCCCCTTTTTCTCGCCCGCAGATACTTAGTCATTCTCCAAGATTTGTTTTCAGCAGTTATTTAATTCATCTATTGATTCATGCTCTACCTGACTCTCTTTTCAGAGATCACACTCTGTTTTTCTTTTTCTTTTTTTCTTTCCACAGCCTGGGCTCACAGTACACTGCACTGTGCAGAGTATTTTATCTATACTTTAACCACATTCTGTGAACCAAATAGGAATCCCGGCCTTGTTAATACATAGTCCCACATTTTAGAGGATAAGGATGAATAAACCTGTCCATGACCCGTTCGCTCATGCAACTGTTAGCAACTCTTGTAAGGCTGGACACACTTTCGGGAATGGCAATACATAGACTTTCAACACTCGTCTATATTTCCAAACAAGTATTAGAACACTGGCTCTGAAAACTGCCATTATAAACTACGTTTACAATTTTAATTTAGTAAAATGTTTTGATCTTGTTGCCCTACAGCTCCTGCACTGTACTAACAGTGTGCCTTCTCTGATGGTAACAGCAGTAAAACCTGTGACTGTGACTTCATAACAATAAACAGATCTGCTGTTTTGTGCTGTCGAGTTTTAAGCATGTTAATAAACTGTAATTGGAAAAGAAAAGGAGATAAAAGTTTTTTAGCCACCTAAAGCAGGTTTTGAGTTTTATACTGAGCATTTTTATCATCTCTACTTTGTTTAACATCTCTTATCATGAGATCATTAAGCTGGCTTGATAAGAGATAACAAAGTAACAGCCTAGAAGCAACTTGAAAACTAAATTTGATAGTATTGCAACATCTTAGCAACCACCTAGGATGCCATAGAAACAGCCTAGCAACACCCTAGCAACCACCTGGAATACCATAACAATGACCTAGCAACACCTTAGCAACCACCTGAGATAGCATTGCAGCATCCTAGCAACACCTTAGCAACCACCTGGGATACCATAGTAATGGCCTAGCAACACCTCAGCAACCACCAGGGATACCATAGTAATGGCCTAGCAACACTTTAGCAACCAACCGGGATACTATAACAACAGCCTAGCAACATCTTAGCAACTACCTGTGATAGCATCGCAACATCCTAGCAGCACCTCAGCAACCACCTAAAGGATACCATAGCAACAGCCTAGCAACTCCTTAGCTTAACTGGTGAATGTCCAGTTTAGAAAATCAATCAACTTCTATCCCTAAAATTTGTGACTACAAAACAAAAATCTACACCTGCTCTACCTTAATAGTGTGACCTTTCACACACTATCAAAATAAATATCATTTGAAATGAATAAAGCACAATTTATGTATTTTGTGTTTTGACAAAATCTTAATTGTGTACTACATTTTTCATTATGTTGAATGGAATTCTTCCTGAGATTCAAGCTTGTTAAACCTTGCATCAGTTGTTATGAAAGAACATTTGACATGAATAGACCAATCGACTTAATTTTAAATTAAATTGTCAGTTTTATTTTTTTTGGATGTAAATCCTTTAAAATTTGATTCTGTAATAATATTCAATAATGAATGTGCTTATTTTGTGCCTTAAATAAAGTTCTCTGGTCGTTTTCTAATGTAAAAATCCCAAACAAGCTTAATGTGTTGTTTTTCTTTTCTTTATTCTGCTACTTTACACTCTTTACTTTTATTGTAATATTTCACTTTATCACCTTAACAGTGACTGACCAGCACTGAGCAGAAAGAACCTGGGCCTCTTCTGGACTCTCATATCGCTCTGTCACTTTCCCTCCACCTCCCCCCACTTCTCTATCCCTCTCTCTTTTACCCCATTGCCCCACTCCAGCCTCAACAGAGAGTGAAAGGTGGCAGAATGGATTTCAGAGGCTACGCCTTTAACCCCGCCTCAATATTAGCTTTTATTATTGTTATTGCTGGCTAGCCGCACCACAGCCTGCAATACTGCCTGGGCTTTGGCTGATAAAAGCTCATATGTTGCCTTATAGCCCGCAGGTCTCCGGAAGCCAGCGAACCCTGAATTTTTTAAGAGATGAAGAGATTTTTTTTTCCCCCCTTTTATTTTTCGAGGCCTGTACATGCTGAGCCTGCCAGACGTATGCTTCAGTTTCATTCTTTCCAAAATAAAAATCCCCACAAAAAGAGTATTTGTGCCTGCTGTGTGTGAGCTGAACTGGAGCAGGTGGGAGCTGCGTTTGTGCCGGTGTTGTGAGTTTTGCGTTGCTGCAGTTTGGAAAATTGTGGGACAGAATCGCAGTGTGCGCTGCACCCACACCATGACCATTCCGCTGGCAGCCAAGTGTCCTTGGCAGACAAAAAAATATCAGTTTAGTGAAGTTTTCTCTTTTGAAAGTGCAGTTTTTAGTACAGGCCATAATAGCCATAATATACATATCGCTGTTGTCAGAAGAAAACCTCATATCTCCAAAATGGTAACTTTACAGGAGAAGGAAAAACCTACTTTACTTTTAATGTATGTCAATGGAACCGGACTTTTTTCCAAGTCATTTTGGGCCGTTTCTTTTAGTCCGTTCATCATGAAATTTACACACAATGTAAGGGTCAAAAGTTATTTTCAAATTATGTCAAAAACTGAAAAATGACAAAAATGGAGATACAAGGTTTTCTTCCGACAGCAGTGATATACAGGCCTTAATATACAGCACTGGCAAACAGAATATCTCAGTTTAATGTTGCTTTCTCATTTTAAAGTGCAATTTCCCATATAGACATCAATCCATCCATCCATCATCTAAACCGCTTATCCTTCTGGGTCGCGGTGGGGTGCTGGAGCCTATCCCAGCTGTCATTGGGCGGAAGGCAGGATACACCCTGGACAGGTCACCAGTCCATCGCAGGGCACCCATATAGACAGTAATTGCCTATATATAGTCTGCTAATATTGTTAAGTCACTATGTAGTGGTGCGTATATGCAGGTAGATGGCATATACCCCCCTTTTAGGAGACTAATTTACTGTGTGTGTACATAAACATGGCCAGAATTTGAGTCTGTGTACTTTGTGCTTGACTTTGATTTGACCATGATTGTGGAGATCCAAGACTTTTTCCCAATTTTGAGTAATAGAACCATCTTTGGTATAGATATATTAAAAGATGTACAAAATAAGTTTTGCATATCGCTGCTGTCGGAGCAAAACCTTGTATCTCCATTTTTGTTGTTTTTTACTTTTTGACATAAATTGACATTGACTCTTTACATTGTGTGTTAATTTCATGATAAATGGCCCAAAAAAGTGGCCCAAAATTACTTGGAAACAATTCTGGTTCTATTGCCTTATATTAAAAGTAAAGTGTGTTTTTTTCCTTCTCCCGTAAAGTTACATGGTTTTGTCCCAACAGCAGCGATATATACAGTATACAGATATATACATATGCAAAAGTTTGGACATCCCTGGTCACATGACGTGTTTTGTTGATTTTAACATGTCCTTTACAGAGAACACACAATTTTTAATACACAATTACTGTTTGTTTGTTCAAATCAGGATACTGGCCTGTGCACAAATTATGGCACATTTTATATGATGTGTTTTATTTTTCCCAATATCTTAAACTTAGCAAATAAATAAAAATGATGTTCCAAAATTTGCAGAAAATGATTGAGAGTTAAATTATTTTGCCTTCAGTAAGAATTGTGGGAAAACATTAGCTATAAGTTGTAAAAATGCTTTACTAATTTGCCTGTGTGAGGAGAATACAGAAGATATACTGTCATAAAAAAGGATGGTTTGTTTTGAATTAATTATGATTTTTATAGAAAGTAAAGGAATATTCTGTATATTCAGTGAGAGAATTTTCTTTTGCATACAAAGAATATGTAATTATTTTTCTTTCTGTGATTTCACAAAAAATATACCTCTAATTCCCCCTCTCTCATTCTTCAGGGCTAGATGTGAGGCAGGCAGAAGTGGTGGCGTTGTCGACGGGCACTAAGTGCATTAATGGAGAGTACATGAGTGACCAGGGCCTGGTGGTTAATGACTGTCACGCAGAGGTCACAGCCAGACGAGCACTACTGCGCTTTCTCTACTCTCACCTGGAGCTCCATCTCAGGTACGTCCCACACAGCTGGAGGTCTGCTGCCTAGCCCACACATTGAATCGCTGCAAAGCATGGAGGTCTGGAGAACATGTAGCTTGCTTTGCTATGTTAAACTAATAGATCACACAAAAGTATAGGTGAGAGCAATAAACTCTCTGACTGAATATACTGGCAAATCTGATGCTACCAGATCAAGGAAAGCAAACAGGAGAAGAAGTTTAATTACACTATTCAGAATTCCAAGATTCCAGCTTGTAAAAAAGAATTTAAAGTGAAATTTAAAAGAATTTTAAAGTGTTATATTTTGACGTTTTATAATAGGCCTAATAAATATTGGGAAAAAAAACTTTTTGGTCAAACTTTTCATCATTTTTACTCTTTTGGCCAAAACATTTTGGCCATTTTTAGTGTCCAGATTTTTGATGTGTCATTATCTCGACTGTCCCTCCAGATCCAGACCAATGAAGAGAAAAGCCTTCCTCCTTTAATGTCATATTTGCATACTCAGAAATGACCTCTGTCTGCCCACACTGTATCTCTATGAGCAGAAGGGGAGAATGGAGCCTTATGGCTGGTCTAGAGTCTAATTAGATAGATAAATCAGCAAGACTGGAGCCAAAATGCCACAATTGCCATCTTATCCCTCAATGCATAGAGACAGAGAGAGGAAATTATGTACGGCCTGTCAAAGTGTCTTTCTACCACTGTTACCACAGCCGACAGTGTCAGAAATAACCAAAGGTAGGGGGGAAAAATGCCTTATATTCAATATAAATGCCATATTCAACACTGAATAAATCTTTATTGGCCATTTCTGACTGAACAGGGTGTGTAAAATAAATCACAGAAAACCTTCTTACAAAATACAACATACAAAAACATGTACACTAGATCAGCAAAGCAACTACAGTGCAGCTAGTTTCTTTACAGAAACTACATAAAAGAGGTTTTGAAAATATTTTTGTTATTATTATTAGTAACATTCTTGATATTGCTATAATCGGGCTTATGTGTCATGTTAGTGACAGAGGCTCAAGAGGAAAAAATCTGAACATGAATTAA